GGGGGACGATGCCTTTCCTGTCTTCGCTGCGGAGAGAGATGCCATCCTCTCCTCACTCGCTCGTCGAGCCAAGGTCTGTCCCACAGTCCACATCTTGACTGTTGCACTTTGCAAACAATGCCAGCTCCACTTCCACGAATTTTTATTGCCTCTCGTTCATGTCCTCACTGCCCACCACTCAAGCAGGCCTTCTCTTATGCCATTCCGAGGGTGCTATGTATGTCTTCCCAGACTGCCTTTCTTTTCACCTCTCGTCCATGCAATCCTGTCCTTCTTCCAACCCGACCCCAAATATGCCAGCTGCTAGTTGATGTGCTCAACTCACTACCAGGCATCACCTGCAACCCCTCTGAAGGCGCCATGTACGCCTTCCCCAGGCTGCACCTCCCCCCCCGAGCAGTGGAAGCAGCAGCAGCAGTGGGCATGCTAGCAGACACTTTCTACGCGCGCCGATTGCTCGATGCCACAGGGATTGTTGTGGTACCGGGATCGGGATTCGGGCAGGAGCCTGGGACATGGCACGTGCGGTTCACGATCTTGCCAAGTGAAGATAAGATCTCGGGAATGATGGAGCGGTTTGCTGAGTTCCATGATAGATTCATGCGGGAGTTCACTGTTTGAGGTGTAGTGCAATTGGAAAGAACGGTTCTAGTCAGTGCACTGTTATGGCAAAATCTCGGATATGGGTGTATGATCATCTTCACAGTTTCCGTGTTCGTGAGTCGTGTAAAGCATCGCTCTTGCACCATCACATCCCACGAATTGTTTGATGGAGGTTTACCAATAACGTAGCTGCCCACTTGTATAGTTTGTGACTGAGGAAATCTGTATCGAGGACAGATATTTTCATTCTTTGCATCAGCTCCGCCTATGCAGACAGACGAGAGCTAAGGCAATCGAGCATCTGGCTTTCAGTGTACGGCCTGAATGCTTGTTGCAAGCACTCGCGTCTCATAAACAGCATTTCCTTTTTCGTCAGTGGAATACCCACATGCGCACGCGTTTGTCTGCTACGAACGCCATCTCTAGGGTCGCCTTGTGACGCTCTGGTAGTTCTAACATCCGCGTGACCGTCTGCCGCTTACTGCCATCATGGCATGCTGCGAGATTCGCTGGAATTCACAACCTCTTGGGCTCGGCTTGAGGGCGACGAGAAGGATGGTTCAGAAGAACGTAGTAGCGTTACCCCTCGCTAATCGTTTTACAGAGGCATGTAAAGAAAGTGCTTTTCTTCTGCTGCTTGCGTGCTACACCTCCGGTCGTTCATGTTTAGGTATTTTCTTTGTTGCCTCAGTCAACAGACCACTGTGAGTTGACGGTTCTCGTACTACTTCATCCGCGGTTGCTCGTGTGTGCTCCAGAACGAGCGGATGCGAAAGTTAGCAACACGTTCTGCCTCGTCGGACGAGTGGAGTTTCACGCGACCAGACGAGGCTGACAGGTCAAGAGAATTTGCAGCAAGACTTGAGCAAGCCTGGAGCATAAGAAAGGTGCATTCTTCTGCTTTCGCTGACACATGCATGTCAACTTTATTTACTTACGTACCCCTGTCTCTTCTGCATACCCCTGTAGCAATAGCATTCTGACTGACGCTCTCCACTTTGTTGACTATCCTGGCTCTCTTCCATCTCTGGTTTTTTTTAATGAGCAGAACCAGGGTCCTGTCGCATGCGAGGAGTGCATGGCTCAGGGCTGTATCGAGTGCAAGTGGTGCCGTGGGACTGGCTATTTTATTGTGGGAGACAGTCTGCTATGCTCGGTATCCTCACGGAGCAGTACTTGCGTAATCTGCGGCGGGAAGGTGAGTCTACTCTTTGAAAGAGCATTGTGAGGAGGAACCTACTCATTGTCTCTTTTTTGGATGATGAATTATCCGTTCGTTTTCCTTCACTTGTTGGGGATGGTCGTTCTAATATGTATCTTTTGTGGCACACTTATGCAGGGTACTGTCCGTTGCCTTGACTGTGCTGGTACTGGTTTCAGAGCTCGTTGGCTCAAAAGACCTACCCCAGGGAAACAACCGTCAGGTTGAACATTTTTGTTCTCTTCCTGGCAAAGTGGTTCGAGATGTTGGCCAGGTTGGCACCTAAGGGGTCTGATGCGATCAGTTGCATCAGTTTCATTGTTTAGTTTGATTTGAGGGGCTTTTGATTTTTGTGCCCCACACCATGTACATAGATGACATAGAAATGCCAAGAATCTATAGATGGCTTGTAACGTTATTGCTCCCAATGCTTTCGCCATCAGTTCTGAAATACTTGTTACCTTCGCCAAGCATTCAGGCATCCAGAAAGGTCCGCTTGGCTGGCTCAACGATTCGATTCTTTCCGCGTTCTTTCTAACGGAGTTGATTGTGACGATTGCATGCCGCTAACGTTTCCCGTCATCTTACCCCGTTCTTGGCAAGGTTGGTTGGGTTGTCATGCTGCAACCCCTCCCCCCCTTCTTGCCTCAAAACCACTCATTTCCTTGTTACCACCTACCCCGCTCAACTCCTCTCCTACAGCCCTAAAACTGCTTCCTGCTACTTTCTAGCCTCGGAACCTAGCATGGTGCTATGAGGTTGCTCTAACAATGTTCTAGGGCTGTCCGACTGTGGTGCAGACCTGTTTAGTGTGTCGTGTCGGTAGCACAGGCCGATATTTAGATTGGTCTGGTGGTGAGGAAGCTTTTTGTTTTGGCTGGCGGAACTATGGAGCGATATGAGATCCTCAAGGATATTGGGTCGGGAAATTTCGGGATTGCGAAGTTAATGCGAGATAAGAGAACTAAGGAGATGGTGGCGGTGAAGTTCATTGAGCGTGGCGACAAGGCACGTGCATATTCGTTGCGTCCATTTTTCCTCCAACCGAGCTGGAATCGCGCTCTTTGTTTTGGTGAACGAGTCTTTGATTTTTCCAAAAGGGTTGCTTTATGTTCGCAGATCGACGAGAATGTTCAGCGTGAAATCATTAACCATCGCTCCCTTAGGCATCCTAACATCATCCGATTCCGTGAGGTTCGTCGCTCATCTTCCATTTGCTCCTCGTCTGCTTTAGGTTCCTCGTGTGGTTGTGCAGCTAGTGACCGTTGGGTTTTGTTTTTATTGTTATTTTCCAGGTTTGCCTCACTCCGCAGCATTTGGCCATTATAATGGAATATGCGGCCGGTGGTGAGCTATTCGAGCGAATCTGCAACGCTGGTCGTTTCAGCGAAGACGAGGTACGTGTTGCACGCATTTGTGTCATCCGTCTTCCTTCTCACCGGCGCTTGGGTTGCAGTTGTTGACGCATTCTGTTCTGTCTTTCAGGCTCGATTTTTCTTTCAACAATTGGTCGCTGGCATCAGCTATTGTCACTCCATGGTAAGAATAACCCGCGTCATCTGTCTTGCATAGATTAACGGTCGCATACTAATTTATGAACCCTTCTCGTTTGCAGCAAATCTGCCATCGCGATCTGAAGCTTGAAAACACTCTTTTGGATGGAAGTCCTGCACCCCGTCTGAAAATTTGCGATTTCGGTTACTCAAAGGTACAGTGTGGAATAGAGGCTGGAGATGTCGCATTGTGAACCGGCACTAAGTATCCGCTCTTTCTACTTTTCAGTCCTCCCTGCTTCATTCACAACCGAAATCCACCGTGGGCACTCCAGCCTACATTGCACCTGAAGTTCTCTCAAAGAAGGAGTATGATGGAAAGGTAAGTAAGTTTTGACTGAATTTTGCAAAAGCGTCACGTAATGCTTCTTTCCTCGTCTGACTAAAGTGTTTCCATGTGGCAGACTGCTGACGTGTGGTCTTGTGGAGTCACACTATACGTCATGCTTGTAGGGGCTTATCCCTTTGAGGACCCTGATGACCCACGAAACTTCAGGAAAACCATTGGTGTATGTTTACATTGCCTCTTTTCTGCTGTTTCAGCTCCTTCCCCACGCCCACAGCATTCATGACTGTCTGCTTCTTCTGCTGCCATGCTTACAGCGCATCATGAGTGTCCAGTATCACGTTCCACCGTATGTGCGCCTCTCTCCGGAATGCAAGCACCTCTTGTCAAGAATCTTCACAGCAAACCCTACAAAGGTGAGTTTTAGTATTTAGCTGGTAGGTAGCCTTGGTTGTTCACAAATAGATTGAACTCTCACCTCCCTGTATCCCCTCACTCCCCCCCTTCCTCCCCCTTGTCGGCAGCGCATCACAATGCCGGAAATCAAGAGGCACCCTTGGTTCTTGCGGAACCTGCCAGCAGATCTGATGCATGAAAATGACCCGGGTTACCAGTACGATGATCCTAACCACCCGCCTCAAAGCATCGAGGAGATCATGAGGATATTGCAGGAAGCTCGGGTTCCAGGCATTGCTCAGCCTTCTGGCGATGGTTACCTCAACGATGACAGGGATGACGAGAGAGATGATGAGGACATGGACAATGACATGGATGACTTCGAGGGCAGTGGAGAGTTTGTCAATGCTCTTTAAGAGACTTGGGTCCTTTTATTCCATTTACATGGCTGCACAGCATGAGGTGGCTGGTGTATTGTTGCTCCTTGTGTGTTGCAGTTCACTTGCTAGTTCTAGTACAAATTTTAGTTTGACTCTGGCCGTTAGTTTCTTGTGCCAGCTTGCAGTAAGACACTGCCGACAACAGACTGATGTACAGGTGGATGGAATAACCTTTATTAAGAAGCGGCCAAGAAACAGGGTTTGTGGGGCACTTGAAAAGCACAATATTATAATTTGTATTTTAAAAGCGAGGACGTGGCCAATGCAGCAAAGGTAGCGGCTCTACGCTACTCACCCCTCTTTTGCCTACAAAACAGGAACGTGATTTCAGTAGCTCCACCCACGTTCTTCATTTCCAATTTCTAGTTTTACTTTCCCACCACCCGCCCCATCGTGTATCATTGATGGACGAGAACGTTGTAACTTCCCATTTGGAATGAAGCACGCTGCCCCCGCAAGATGGACTAAGCAAAGCTTTCACAATGCACAGCGTATAAACAGTGAGCAATTATGCGCACAGTTCAGCCACCCCCGCTGGAGGTTTTTAACTGAATGGCTGCTAGTTCCTCCTCCACAAACTCTCCAGCAGGCTTGGGTGGAAAGCTAGATGCCAGTTTGCTAGCGGCGAAGTGCCAAATGGGCGTGAGGATCTCATCTGATGCTATGTGTGCAAAAACCTGCGCAAAAAAGACAGCCATAATGAGAAAGATCAGGCAAACCTGCTGCAAGAAAATCATTTTCTTCCCCAGCGTCATCAGCTTCTCCCTTCCAACTTACGAACCTCCAGACCATACCTGCTGCGTAAACTCCAAATCACAATGCACTGGGTAATAGTCCCTCCCGCGTACCGTACTGGAGACTCGCCAGAGGCTGCGCCCCTGCTGCTGTGCTCTCTGCACCGCCGCCACTGTGCCCTCATCCACCACCACCTCATGCATTCCCGCCGCCACCTCTCCTCCCGTCAGCCATTCCATCTGCCAAGTTACACATGCACAAACATGCCACACCAGGAGGATGATGAAAGGAGGTTGTTCAACAATCTCGTCATGTTACCAGGAGAGCAGCAGCAGAACTCATCACATACACACAATGCAGTTGCTGGTGCTAATCGTAGTGCCACACAAGCAGGACTTGAGGGACCAGATGTCTCAAAGCTGTCATATCACATCAGAAACAGTGCAGACCACAGTCCCCTGCACCCACCTGTTTCCCTGCTTGAAGCAGCAGGCAGCCGTCAGGCACCGAGACACGGCAGCAGGTGCCATCCCTCAGCCAGATACGTAGGCCGGGGAATCTGCACCGTCCGTGGATGGTGAGGAAGTTGAGATCTGCATGATACCCCGCCAGGACTGTTCCAGGGGAGCCATGCTCTCCCAGGTCGCTGCCTGTGGGGGCCAGCAGGTGTGGGCCCTGGGGAGGAGTGGAGAAGGGATGGAGAACGTATAAATCATGAGTCAACTGAACAGTGGATGGTGAGGAATTTGCATCTGCATGATACCCCGCCAGGACCGTTCCAGGTGAGCCGTGCTCTCCCAGATCACTGCCTGTGGGGGCCAGCAGGTGTGGGCCCTGGGAAGGAAGGGGTGGAACAGGGGCCAGCAGGACGGAAGGATAGGGGAAAGGCAGTGGGAAGGTGGGCTGGCGAAGGGATGGAGTACAAGTGAGAAGAGGGGAATGGGGCAGTGGGAGGAGAGGGGATATGAGACCATGGGTGCAAGAGGACAGAAAAAGAGAAAAAGGACAGAAAAAGAGAAAAAGGACAGAAAAAAAGAGGTGAAGAAGGAAGGAATGGGAAGAGCAACGGTAGGGGCTCGAGAGTGCCAAAGGGGGGAGAGATATAGCAGCAATATGTGAAGTGGTTCGCACGACGTGCATGCGAGAGGTGCAGTGCGGTGACAAGGGGGTTCATACCATGTGCATGCGAGAGGTGAACGAGTCCTGTGGAAGATCAAATCCGATTGCCAGCATCTCAGCCACTGCCTGCAGATACACACACACACACACATTCATGCATTCCATGTCAACAAGTGAGACTTTCTAAGTCAGATCTGTCTACTACAGAGCAGCAAGCTCAAGTGGAAGAATGCTGCAAACTGCAAACCAATCCTGTTCCTTCTGGTCCATTGTCTCTTCCTAGATCGAATTTGCTTGTCCTTTTCCCTCCCCCTTGCCCCTCTCTCTGTTCCCCCCTGAGGCATCCCTCTCACCTCCACAGCAGCAGTCATATTGCATCCCCACCCATCCATAACCGCCGCCCACTGAGGGGACCCATTTGTGAGGCGCCTCAAAGAAAGACTCTCTCTCCCCTGCCGCCCATTCCCCTCACCTCCACTGCAGCAGTCACCTTGCATTCCCACCCATCCACCACCGCCGCTCACTGAGAAGAACCCACTTCTGAGGCGCCTAAAGATAGAATAGTTCTCTTCGTCCATCCCTCTCACCTCCACTGCAGCAGTCATCTTGCATCCCCACCCATCCATCACCGAAGCCCACTGCGGGAACCCCTCCGGCACCACCGGACTGGCGTTCAGCTCCTGTTACACGCACATTCGATATAGGCACGCAAACCAGGTATAATCATATCACATACACTCAAAAGCGGTGCGAACATGCGATGTCAATGGTAGGCGCGGGGCAGCAGCTAATTGCATACCTGGTATCTGGTGCGCACAGGACCTCCCCCACTCTCCCCAGCGCTCACCTGGTATCTGGTGCGCGCAAGACCTCCCCCACTCTCCCCAGCGCTCACCTGGTATCTGGTGCGCGCAAGACCTCCCCCACTCTCCCCAGCGCTCACCTGGTATCTGGTGCGCGCGGGCCGGGGCCCGACGCGCCACATGAACCGCCACTTGCAGTCGGGCCCGGAGGGCGCGTGGGGGCGGCTGTCCGCGGGGAGTTGCGCCATGCGCGCCTTCACCGCCTCGTCCAGCGCGCTCTGCGGCATCTCCACGCCCTCGGGGGTCACGCCCACCTGCTTGGGTCGGGGAAGGGCGCAGGAGAGGTGGGGGAGGGGAGGAAGGGAGCGCGGGGCAAGGAGGTGAGGATTGGGAACGGAGGTGCGAGTACGGCACGGCACGCCATCTGGAAACAACTTTTGAGGCGCCTAAAAAAAAAAACTTTTGAGGCGCCTCAAAAAAAAAACTTTTGAGGCGCCTCAAAAAAAAAACTTTTGAGGCGCCTAAAAAAAAAAAACTTTTGAGGCGCCTCAAAAAAAAAACTTTTGAGGCGCCTCAAAAAAAAAAACTTTTGAGGCGCCTAAAAAAAAAAACTTTTGAGGCGCCTCAAAAAAAAAACTTTTGAGGCGCCTAAAAAAAAAAACTTTTGAGGCGCCTCAAAAAAAAAAACTTTTGAGGCGCCTAAAAAAAAAACTTGAGGCGCCTAAAAAAAAAACTTTTGAGGCGCCTCAAAAAAAACTTTTGAGGCGCCTAAAAAAAAAAACTTTTGAGGCGCCTAAAAAAAAAAAAACTTTTAAGGCGCCTCAAAAGTCGGAGGTGCGAGTACGGCACGGCACGCCATCTGGAAACAGAGGGCGGATAGACGCGGCTGTCCGCGGGGAGCTGCGCCATGCGCGCCTTCACCGCCTCGTCCAGCGCGCTCTGCGCCCTCGGGGGTCACTCCCACCTGCGCCGCGCATGGCGCGGCGCAACACGAGGGAGCGGGAATGGGGGGAGATGGTCGTTGAGACACTTGGGCATCGGCGGAAGAGCACCTCTTGGCAAGGGGAGACGGCACCTTTTGGCGAAGGCGAAATATCAGCACCTCTTGGCAAGGGGAGACGGCACCTTTTGGCGAAGGCGAAATATCAGCACCTCTTGGCAAGGAGAGACGGCACCTTTTGGCGAAGGCGAAATATCAGCACCTCTTGGGGACCGACAAATAGATTGCACGGGGCCTTATCAGTCTTACCTCTTGCCCTTATCACCAGTCGTACCTGATAGTGCAGCTCGGGCCGCGAGTGCGCGAGCTTGGTCGTCTTGGGCTGCGCGAAGTACGACTCCATCATATCGAGAAACCGGTCATTGTCCGCTTGCGCGCACCGTGGGTCGCGCACGATCAGCGCGCTCGTTGCGCGCAAACACTCCGCCATCGCGCGGCAGGTTTCCGCCACCGACGCGGGGATCGCCGGAGCTGCGGCTGCGCCTGGCGCGTCCGCAGCCGTCTGCCCTGCGGCATTTCCGCATTGCTCGCGACGTGCAGCCTCTTTCAGCTGCAGAAACTCCGCCAGATCGAACGGCTGCAGGGACGCCATCTGGGCCGTTGGACGGACAGTAACAGCAGAAGCAGCAGCAGCAGCGGCGTGTTCGACGCGCTGCTCGTTCCGTAGGATGCACTAACCGTCGCCGCAGCCTGTTTTTTCCGCGCTTGAATAAGATAATTCAACTGGGTCGATCCCGCGGCTCTTCTTCGCCACGGAGAAACTGTACGAAGGGCCGCTCACAGGTGTTAACGCGAGGAGGAATGCGGTTCTCGGATTCTGTAAGCAGAAACGGATGCTCAGGTGCGATTCTATAAGACAGATATTTACAGGTATAGTATAGCCCGCTTAGCCGTGAGCCAGAGTGACGGCCGACAGGGAACCTGGAACTGTCACGGAGAGCGAAAAAAACGGCACTGGCACGCGTCGAAGGAAGCGGGAAATACGGGTGAGCCGTGGAACCTAACATCAAGCCTCTGGACTTGTTGCCTCCATGGCAGATCGAAATCATTTTTCTGAATACGCTTTGGAGCTTCTGTTTGGGTTTGGCTCGGTTTGGCGAAAAAACAGGAAAATCTGCTGTGGCATTTGGTTTGAACTTTGAACGCTCAAACATCTGTGTGACTCGTTAGGGAGTGTCTCGATGGGATCCGAGTGGGTTTGGTGTTTGTTAGCGTGAAGTTGACGACCATTTCCAGCCTGCAAAAAACTGTTATTGTGTATATGTGCCACTTTTTGTGAAGGTGTTGTGTGGCCCTGTTGCGAAAGGATTCAATTCGGGAAGGTGTAACACCAGTATCTTCGCAGGTGTGATCTTCACAGGTATCAATGTGCGAATATAATTTCTTTCGTCAAGCCATGGATCCGTCCACCATTACCGACGAAAACCAAGTCGGGCATGGCTGCAGGAATGACCGTACGTGGTTGACCATATTCTTCATACTCCGTTATCGTTCACTGCAGGATGCACGGATTAAATTTCCGCATCTTGCGCCAGTACTCTTTTGCTCAAATTCGTTCCAATTCCATTTGCATTCGCGTTAGCATTCGCCAGTAACCTGGATTTTCCTGGATGTGATGATATTGAGGTTCGCATATGTCCTTTCCTTTCGTCAAGGCGAAACGTCCTCGCATCGCCGTCAACGAAATGGCCTTTTTGCCATCCGGGTACCCCGCTCTGGGCCTCGATCCTTCAGCGACTCACGCCATCTCCACGTCATGGTGGAATCTGGACCGTTCGTTGAACGCTCTGATCGAGGGAATCAACGGCCGGATTAGCAGCAGAGCATACAGCACGACAGAAGGCGACGGAAACAGCAAGAACGACGACACAATCGGGGGATTCGCGTGGAACGCGCATGGGCGGAGGCGCAGAGTTGTGAAATTCTGGCGGAATGGGGAGAGGCGGAAGGATCTGGCGGAGCTGTGCCGACGTGGCATGGGACAAGTGACGCTTGATTACGTCAGCGGGTGCCTGAAGGTGAGTGGGAGTGTATGAATCAGCCTATGCCTGCTGCTTTAACGGTCCTGATCGGAAGCTTAAAAAACGAGTACTTGCGCTGCAACAGCTCCTGCTCGCTCCTGTTACTAAATCGTCCGGCTTCTGTTCCCCTGTTCTTCCCTGCTCTCCCCTGCTGTCCCTGATCCCACGTCACATTCTAAATTCTCGTTTTCCTCTACCACGGCTTTCTTTGTACAGAGAAGTTTCCAGGAAACTGCTGTGCCCCGGTTTCAAAGAGCCATCAAGGAAGCAGCGAGTATTGGGGAAGGGGGAGGGAGGGGAGGGAATGGAGCAGGACGGGGGACAAAGAAGGGGGGTAAGCAGCACAGGCAGAAGGAAGCTGCCAGGAAATTACTTTTAGCTTTGAACGAGCTCTGTGCCGTGAAGCACGCTTTCACGTTAGTGCTTGCTGACGTGGCAGCTGACGTGGCACGATGCCATGCCAAGTATGGTGTTGAGGATACGTGGGGTCATCCGTGGGCTGAGGTAGGAGGGGCAGAGGAGGAGGAGGAGGAGGAGGAGGAGGAGGGGGAGGTGGGGCAAGAGGAGGGGAAGGAGGTGGGGGAAGCTGAGGGGGAGGAGGAGGAGAACGAAAAGGAAGAGAGTGGGGAGGACAGGGGAGCGGGAGAAGAGGAGGAGTGGGGAGGCGAAGAGGGAGGAGCGGTGGAGGAGTTGAGGGAGAGTATGCAAGCCATGCTGGTCAACGCCACACCCCCACAGCTCTACGGTGAGTGCGGTGTGCTCTCACCTGTATGGTATGTGTGCTGGGTGCTGTCTCAACACATGCAGGCCTGAATGGGGAAGTTATATACATATTGAGTGTGTTGAGCTTTGTTCGTATACCACAATGTGATGGGTCCAGCATTTTATACTGAGATTTCACAGTGTATGCATGCATATAAGCTGACTTTTGAGTCAACTCAAAAGTCAGCTCGCATTTCAAACTGAGATTTCACACTGCATGCATGCATATACTGCCTCTCCGAGGTGCAATATTCCCTGCACGCATCTTCAGACATCTCAACACGCTACGCTAGCACATTCTTCCCTGCTCGCACGCACGCACATGCATGCATGGCAGGGCTGCTGCAAGAGTTCCTCTCGTCTCGCTTCAAGGATGTTTCTGAGTGCATGCGCCCATTCTATAGCGAGGATGATGACGAGGAGGAGGAAGATGGGGAGGAAGAGGATGAAGAGGACGACGAAGAGGAGGTGGAGGAAGGGGAGGGGGAGGAGGAGGAGGCAGAGGATCTTGAGGAATCAGCAGAAAAGCTACATTCAACCCCAGTGGTAACATCTGCGACCCCTGTAGTTGCCACGGCCACTGCAGGGGGGGAGAGGTACCACCAGCACCCAGGTGAAAGACTCACACCTTTACTGGACGCAGAGAATCAGAACTTGCACGGAAGCTTCCCTGGGTTTGGGGAAGAGGAGGCGGGGAGCGAGGGCAAGGGGAGGGGACCGAGGAGACGACTGGAGGATGAAATGGCTGCGCTTGAAGCGAGGGGGAGAGGGGTAGTCGAGAGGGGAGCGGGAGAGGGAGAGGGAGACAGAGGTGAGGTGCGTGAAGCAGCGGGGGCAGTGAGCGGAGCGGAGCAGGAGACGCTTGCAGCGGTGCTAGATGGCTTGCTGGGCACTGCGGGTGAAGGGGAGGAGGGTTGGGGCGGGGAGGACGCAGCTTACGGGGACGGCGGGGGCTCTGGAGAGGGGGAGAATGCAGACTCGCCTGTGTGTTGGGCGGGGCGGTTGGAGGGGAGGATGGGGCGGGCGTGGGTGTGGCGCGTGCAGCAGGTGATGCGGGCTCTGGGGTTCTCAGGGCTGTCGTTCCTGTCTCATGCCGTGCTGTCTGCTGTGCTGCTAGCCCGGCTTAAGGCGCATGTGCATGCATCGGCAGGAGCCGTTTTCGACCGTCGGATCCTCCTGCGCCTGCACCGGTGGCTGCAGGTCACTGCGCTGCCCTTCGTTACTATCACCACCTGCACTGTCACCACTAAGGCCAGCACCACCGGTATTAGCACCAGCAGAGGTGATGCCTCTGCCATCTCCAGCTGTAGTTCTCGCGTGTCAGATCCGATCTCAGCCGCACATCTGCGGCAGTGGCACGCGTGGTTGCGCCACGTGGCAGGCAGGGAGCTGTGCGCTGTACGCACAGGGCAGCTATTTGACATCATAGTCGACTACCCCGACTCCACCCCCGCCCTCCTCGACCTTAAAGACTGCCTCGAGAATGGCGGTGCTGCTGCTGCTGCTGATGCCACTGCTGCTAACGCTGGTTCCACCGCTGATTTTGGTGGTGCTGCTGTTGTGGAGGGGTTTGGGACTGCCGCGTTTGCAGCCGCTGCTCCGCCTCTGATTGCTCTCGTGGCCGCGCAAGGAGGGAGCAGTTTGAGGGGAGCCATGGGAGGGGAGGGTGCCGGCCTGGGAAGGGAAGGTGGCAGTGGTGGTGGTGGCATTGGTGGTGTGGGGAACGCTTACGGGAGGCTGGTTGCGTCGTTCCGAGCGGCGCTGGCCAATCGGCTGCTGACAGCTGGCGCGTCGACAGCGGATATCTTGCAGCAGTACGTGTCGGCGATACGGGCGCTGCGGCTGGTGGACCCGTCAGGGGTGGTGCTGGAGGCAGTCAGTGAGCCCATTCGACAGTACCTGCGAGGGAGAAAGTGAGTTGTGCTTGTGTGCTGGTATGGTAGCAGGGGAGGTGAGGTGAGTGCCTGCCTACCTGGAGAGGAGTCCACTAACGGTATGCTCTGCGGCTGGTGGACCCTTGAGGGGCGGTGCTGGAAGCAGTCAGCGGTCCCATTCGACAGTACCTGCGGAGCAGGAGGTGAACCATCCGCGCCATCCATCCTCAACCCTTGTCTCTCTCTCTCTCATCCATTCCCAAACCGTAATCCCCGTTCTCCTCACTACACGCCAACACAGGGACACCATTCGCTGCATCATGACTCTGCTGACTCAGCATCCTTCTGCAGCGCCAGGTGGCGCCATTAAGGCCGCTGCTGACGTGGCAGATGATGTGGCAGGGGAGGCGGGGGACCCGGGTGACTTGTCACTACTGGAGGAGCTAAGCCGGGCGGCGGAAGGGGGCGAGGGGGAGACGGGCGGCAGTGGGGAAGGGGAGGAGGAAGGGGCAGGATTGGGGGAAGATCTGTCTGTGGCTTATGCTGCTGCTGAGCGGTGAGTGGTGGTGCCGAGCGGTGAGCAGCGGTGCTGAGTGGTGAGGCTGCTTGTGGGAAGATCTGTCTGCGGCTTATGCTGCTGCTGAGCGGTGAGTGGTGTGTTGAGGTGGGCATTGTTGGTGACTTGTGAGGCGGGCACTGCTAGTGAGCAGTGGGGCGGGCGTTGCCTGTGATTTGAGATGTCACAACTTCCCTGCCTCCCCTCCTCCCGCAGTTGGCAGCCTGATTCAATCGATCTGATCCCTGGCAGTCGTCAGGACATAGTGCGCGTTCTGGCGGGGGTGTCCAGTTGGGTTGGCTTCAGAAAGGTGCTATCTGCAGTTGACGACACCTGATCTGGCACCTTTCTGAAGCCAACCCAACTGGACACCCCCGCCAGACGGGTGCTAACTTGCTTGGGATTCTCCGTTTCCCCGTCTCCCCTTTCCTCCTCCCTTCCCGCAGCTGGCAGCCAGACCCTATTGACGCTGACCCCTGGCAGTCGTCAGGGCAGGCACAGAGGGCGAGGGACATAGTGCGCGTGCTGGCGGGGGTGTTTGGTGTTGTTTTGAGTCGTCTATAAACACCCTTCCCCCCTCTCCCCCTCCCCCCCCCCCTCGCCCCCTCTTCCCGCAGCTGGCAGCCAGACCCGATCGATGCAGACCCCTGGCAGTCGTCAGGGCAGGCACAGAGGACGAGGGACATAGTACGCGTGCTGGCAGGGGTGTTTTGTGTGTTTTGAGTCATCTAAAACACCCCTCCCTTCCCCGCCCCCGCCCGCAGCTGGCAGCCAGTCCCTATTGACGCTGACCCCTGGCAGTCGACAGGGCAGGCACAGAGGGCGAGGGACATAGTGCGCGTGCTGGCAGGGGTGTTCGGTGTGTCTTGAGTCGTCTAAGGACACCCTTCACTCCCCCCCAAATCCCCTGCAGCTGGCAGCCAGAAAGACCCCATCGATGCAGACCCCTGGCAGTAGTCAGGGCAGGCGAAGAGGGCGCAGGAAATAGTGCGCGTGCTGGCGGGGGTGTTCGCTACGTCACCTGATCTGGTAATCACTCTCTGCACTCGACCTTTCCCTTCCTCCTTCCCTGTCTTCTTATTCCTGCAGCTGGCAGCCTGATCTGATTGATACCGATCCCTGGCAGTCGTCAGGGCAGGCGAAGAGGGCGCGGGACATCGTGCGTGTGCTGGCGGGGATGTTTGGTTGGGGTAGGCGTCACCTGACCTGATCCAGCACCCATTCGTTGCACTCGCCCTTTCCCTCTCTCCTTCCGCCCCTCCCCGCCCGCAGCTGGCAGCCAGACCCCATTGATGCAGACCCCTGGCAGTCGTCAGGGCAAGCACAGAGGGCGAGGGACATAGTGCGCGTGCTGGCGGGGGTGTTTGGGTCGCGGGAGGTGCTGCTGGGGGAGTATCGAGGCATGCTGGCGGAGCGGCTGGTGGGGCGCGCTGGGTACGACACTGACCGGGATGTGCGCACCCTGGAACTGCTCAAGGTGCGTGGACAGGTGCTTAGGTTGTGTGGAAGAGAGAAGAGAAGTTATTGCTTGTGTGTTCCACTCGAGGTCAGTACACGGCATGTGTGCTCCATGGGAGGTGCTGCTGGGGGGGTATCGAGGCATGCTGGCGGAGAGGCTGGTGGGGCGCGCAGGGTACGACACTGATGGGGACGTTCGCACTCTGGAGCTGCGCAAGGTGGGTTGACATGTGCTGAAAGTGCGTGGGAGAGAGAAGAGAAGTTGATGCCTGTGTGTTCAATCAAAGGTTAAAGCAACTGCTATGCATGTGTGTTGCTTTCAAGGTGCTGCTGGGGGGAGTACAGAGGCGTGCCAGCAGGCGGCACTCAAAGCGCATAAGCGACCTCCCGCATGCCTCTTCGCCTTTTCCTCCCCTTATCTCTCTTGCTCTTGGTTGCGATTCAACGAGTCCAACTTGTATGCGTGCGAGGTGATGCTGAGAGTGGTAGCATACTCAAAGCGTGAGCTTGGGAGATTAGGAAAAGATTAGGACGAGTTACCTGTTGGATCCAGGTCGAAACTGTTTTTCTGTGATGCTGAGAGTGGTAGCATACTCAAAGCGTATCAACCACCACCCCACCCTGCCCATCCCCCCCCCCCCCACTCCCTCCCCTGCATTCCAAACTATTCCCTCTTCCAGCTCCGCTTTGGAGAATCCAATCTGCACGCGTGCGAGGTGATGCTACGAGACATGGCGGATTCAAAGCGCATCAACGGCAACGTGAAAGCGGCCATGCGGAAGGCAAGGGAGGAGGCTCGGGACTTGGCAGAGGCGCGTTCCAATATTGCTCGCTCGAAAGCCATCATGAGAAGACGAGGTGAGGGTGGGGAAATGAGTAAGGATGAGGAGTAGAGGAGAAGATAGGTTAGGGAAGTGAAACAAGCGATGAGGCAAGTAAGGGAGGAGGCTCGGGACTTGGCAGAGGCGCGTTCTAATATTGCTCGCTCGAAAGCCATCATGCGGCGACGGGGTGAGTGAGGTAAAGGGAGGAGAGTGTAGAGACGAGAGAAGCAGGTGAGGGTGGATGGGATGTGGGCGGAGGGTAGTGAAACAAGCGACGAGGCAGGCGAGGGAGATGGAGGCTCAGGAGCTGGCGGAGGCCCATGCTGCTGGTGCCCGTGCTGCTGGTGCTTGTGCTGCTATTGTTCCTATCCACCAACCTTTCTTTCCACCTCCCCTCCCTTTCCCCCTCTTTCTCGAATGGTTTCGCACTCGTGTGCAGGCCTATCAGTGGTGGGGACAGGGAGGGGAGCAGCAACGGCACAGAGAGAAAGCAGGGGCACAGGGGGAGGTGTATCTGGAGCAGGTGTATCTGGATCGGGGGTATCTGGGTCAGGCTCATCTGCATGGTCGCAGGCACACACACCCGAGCACCTGGTGGTGAGGGGCATGGCATCGTTCTCCACCCCTCCAGACCGACCTGGGAGAGGAGGAGAAGGGGGGGATGGAGGGGGAGGGGGAGGGATTGTGGGAGGGGGAGGGGCGTCGCAGTGGTTCACTCCAGACTCGTTTGCTTCTCCTCCTCCTCCTGCTGCAGCAGCACAGGCACCCCCTGGTGAGCGAGAGTGGGGTGGGGAGGCGCAGGATGAAAGGTGCGGGGTGCCATGTGTGTGTTTTGATGGGTGGGTGGGTGGTTTGGTGGGTGGGTTTGTGATTTGGTGGGCGGGTGGGTGGGTTTGTTGCAATTGCAACACGGAAGGAAGTGGTGAGCGCGTGTGCTTCATATGCCGTGGTACACTCGTTTCAGATGTCTCATACTTTCTTCCACATGTCCTGTCCCATCCCACAGCATCAACCCAGCATTTCTCTTCCTTTACCCCTCTCCGTTTCCCTTTTTCCCTTTACCCCTGTGACCTTTTCCCCTTCCGATTTCCCCATTCCCCTTCGACCTTTACGCTTTGTCCTTGACTTTTGCCCCATTGTTCACCGTCCTCTTTTTCCTTTCTCTCTCCACCCGCGCCACCCTTTCACCTGCTGCCCCTGCTTCCCTTGCTGCCCCTCTCACCTGCACTTTCACCTCCCCAGATTCTTCAGGGGCACCTGCCCCTCCTCCCCGGGCAGCCCGCCCAAATCTTCTGTCCCGCTGGGCCCGCCTCCGCCCGGACCTCCGCACACCGACTTTTTCCGGTGACCGTTCCGCAGATCGCGGGCAGCCTGGAAATTCTGCCCGAACCCCCGGCCAATCAGGTGGCGGCAGCTCAGCAATGGGGGGAAACAGGAGCACTGGGAGAGGCGGGCAGGGGGGGTTATGGGATGTTATGGATGCATTGGGAGGGGAGGGGAGTGGGGACGAGGAGGATGAGGGGGAGATTGAAGGAGGGGAGGAGGAAGAGGAGGAGGCGAAGCCGGAGGAGAAAGAGGAGTTGCTAGAAGCAGAGAATTTAGACGCCACGATCGTCTCGGCGCTGTTCTGGCCGGCTTTCCAGGAGGAATCGGTGCGGTTACCAGCGCCTGTAACCAAGCTGATGGAGGAGTATTCAACCAATTATGCGACGCTGAAAGCGCCCCGTAAGCTGCAGTGGAAGGCGAACCTTGGGTGTGTTACAATTGAGCTGGAGTTTGGTAACGGGCGGAGCACTCAGCAGTACACCGTAACGCCCGTTCAGGCGGCCATTATCCTGAAATTCCAAACAGCCGGAGCAGGAGGGGGAGATAAGTGTGGGGGAAGTGCAGATGACGGTGCGGAAAACGGAGAAGTTAATAAGGAGGACGAGACGAGGCCCCAGTGGGCGGCATCTGAGCTGGCGGCAGCAGTGGGCCTGTCAGTGCCGGTGCTGCGTCGGCGAATCACATTCTGGGTGAATCAGGGCGTGATTGTCGAATCGGTCGCGACCAATCGGTCTCCTCCGGAACCTCTTTTCACAGCTGTAGATTACCAAGTCGACCCTGCTTCTGCTGGTGCTGCTGGTGATGCTGGTGGGGATAGAGATGGTGATGCTGATGCTGATGCCGCCGCTGCTGCTGCTGCTGGTGAGGGTGCTGGGCTGGGTGGGTTGCGAGGGGATGGAGAGGGGGAGGATATGGTAGCAGGCGGAGAGTTGCTAATCGGAGATGAGGACGAGGAGGAGGAGGGGGGAGGCATGGTGGCATCGTTGGAAGCGCAGAGGAAGCAGGAGAGTGCGGTGCATGAGTCGTTCATCACGGGCATGCTCACCACGTTCGACGGCCTCCCTATAGAGCGAATCCACAACATGCTCAAGATGTTTGTGTCCGACCCGCCATATGATCGCTCGCTGGCGCAGCTGCATGCGTTTCTGGGGGTGCTGGTGGCGCAGGAGAAGCTGGAGCTCAGGGATGGGCTGTACCGTAAGAAGAAGTAGGTACGGTTGGGTTTAAAGCGGTTCTTGCCAGTGGTGCCGACCCTGTCTGCTACTCCTGCTGGCGCAGCTGCATGCGTTCCTGGGGGTGCTGGTGGCGCAGGAGAAGCTGGAGCTGCGGGATGGATTACATCGGAAAAAGAAGTAGGTGCGGTTTGGTTCAAAGTGGTTATTGCCAAGGGTGGCGGTACTATTCCTCCTGCTGGCGCAGCTGCATGCGTTTCTGGGGGTGCTGGTGGCGCAGGAGAAACTGGAGCTCAGGGATGGGCTATACCGTAAGAAGTAGATGCAGTCTAGTTCAGAGAGGTTCTCACATTATCACATAGCGTTCTATATTTGCTTGGCACTGCTGCTCCTGCTGCTTCTGCTGCTTCTGCAGCTGCACGCCAGGGGGTCCTGGTGGAGTAGGCGACCTGGAGGTTTGGGACAGCTGCGGGAATATGATTTGCCAAAGAACCTTGCCAACCCAAGCAATTAAGGGCGTGTTCCTACAGCCTCTTATCAGGCGAACCTCTTGTCAGATTCGCGTCGCACCGCACTGAAACACTCTTAATAACATTCGATCGCACTGAAACGCATTGAACCGCACAAGTCTGACAAGAGGTCCCCTGATAAGGGGCCGTAGGAACACGCCCTAAGGATTGCAATGCCACTAGGTTTTTGTGGGTATATGATTTGCCAATGAATATGCCAACTCAATTAAGGATTGCCATGCCACTACTAGATACCAATACATCTTAGGTTAGGTGCCTACAGACCTTGGTTTCTACTACCGTAGGTGATGCGCTTTGGCAGGAGGCTGCGCAGAATATACCGTAGGCAGATGAGATGATGCACTCTCCTCACACCCTCGCCCCTAACTAATATAGCTGCTGTAGACCGCACTTGAAAGAAGACTTTCCATGAATATGAAACTGCACTTTCAGTGTACTACTAAATAGTGTATAACTGTTATTCGCCCTTCTCCCCTGCATCCCCTGCCTCCATCTCCTGTAGCACTCTCTCTGCCGCTGATGGCCGGCTGCTCACTGTGGCTGATGACGACGTGACCTGCAACAGCCGTATCACAAAATGACACGGGGGGGGTTGGGGGGAGGAGGGGGAGAGATGAATTTGTTGGCAGATAAAATTGTTGGCTCAATTACCAACTTCATATCCTGCAGCACTCTCTCTGCCGCTGAGGGTCGGCTGCTCACTGTGGCTGACGACGACGTGACCTGCCATGGCCGCATCAAAAGAGGGATGGGGGTGGGAAATGGTGGGAACTGTAAGTAGGGCACGCCAGGAGGAAGAGAAGGACGAGGGTGAAAGATGGCGGGGAGGAGTCCTGGGTTGGTGGATATTTTAGCAGCAGACTGATGCTTCTCCCCAATGCCAAACGCTCCCATACCAGTGTTTTTGATAGACATGAAACTGGTGGAACTAGGATTTCCGGTACATGCTTCAGAGTGCCAGCTTTAGGACTGAAAAATTGATGGAGCCCTAAATACTGGTCCACACCGGTAGGTGTTGATTTCTCACAATGGTGCTGCACTCACTGGGGTGCCACCACTCACCGGGATGCTGGCCCACTGGTCCTTCATGCGCATGACTCTCTTCTGACCCGCTGACACCGCGCTGTCGATCTTATCCTCGTGCTTCTTGATTTGAGGATACAGGAACTTCCAATAGATGATGCTGGCGCCCTGACAGTATAGCGGATAACGAGACAGCACATAACGGGACGCGAAATCAGAAACACAACACTAGGGCGACGTCAGACTGAGCTCGCTCAGAGTGACTCTTTGGCACGAGTTACACGGACCGAGGAGAGGAAAGACGGGGGGTCTAAGTGAATCTTTGACAATTTCAACCATGGCACAAAAGCTAAGTGACTCTTTGGCGACACGGAACTAAGAATAGAGTATCATCTGACCTTGGTCATTGGTAGTTGGAGCCATAGAACGAAGAGGAGCTTGAGGGAGAAGAAGATGGGAAGCCTGCACGCCACAGATGCGTTCAGTAATGGAAGTCTCGGTGGTGAGTGTGAGGGACGGAGGACGTGCGAATGAAATCAAGTAGAGTCGATATTTGAGAAGTAGCTAATGAAGCAGAGTCTCAAAGATCGTGGCCAGGGATCAGACATAGATGACAGGTGCATCATTGCCAGTTCAAAGCTGAATGAAGCGAAGGAGGCAGTCGAATTTCCAGACTACACTGAACCCGAACCTAAAAGCATGAAGTCCCTTTGACAGGAAGGACAAGTGGATCGGTGAGACGGACGTGCAGCGTACCAGACGAGGACCCAGTAGAAGATGGATTCGACAAAGTTAATGCACGCTAGGACCGAGGTGACTCTTGAGTCGACTCGGCAGTCACCTTGTGAGACGGATGTGCGACGTACCAGACGAGGACCCAGAAGAAGATGGATTCGACGAAGTTAATGCACGCTAGGACGGTCCAATACGTGAGCCATTGGGCCTTGTTGTCCGACGATTGCGAATCCAGAGCCTTAAAGCTAGCATAAAACGGATATGCGAAGCTGACTAGGACCCTGAAACAACAGAGTGCGAGAACACAAAAGATTGGGAAAGAAAACGGGACGGTAATCGAAAGGTAAGGCACGCAGGTGAAGTGTAGAAGCGACTAAACGCGATGCGGAAGTTAGTCTTAGCTACAGCAGTGCGTCGTACACGAGGGGCTTGACGATGAACTCGGTAGTGAGGTGCGGTGACGCTACCACGGTAGCTACAGCGGTCGAGGCCATAGCTTCGATGACAGATACGATACGAGACGAGATCAGACGGAGCGTGCGTCGGCCATGGATCGGGACTGTGTCTTCACCTAACAACTAACTACTGAACTCAGAATTCCCGCAAATCTGGGAATCGCAGACACAAAACTCGGAATGTGTTTCGGTAGCATCGGAGCTGGCTCCACAGGCACGAATCCATATTTTAGGGATCGTCGGTAACTGGGTGGTGCCAGCACTTCGCAAAGCATTTTGGTTACCAGTTGTTGTCGCGCCAGTAAATATCTCGTGACGGGACCTCGCATTCACAGTGACGAAGAAGTTACAGGGTAGAGGTTTGTGGTGACGACACGTAGCCAATTAGAAACCAAATCAACAAGGACGCAGGAGAGGCACATTAGGCGAACAACCGTCAGGTTGACGAGATGTTCGCGAACGGCGTAAATGTCAATCCCTTATTCGCGCCACCCTAGTAGCAGAAGTAGAATGGCCCGCCAGCCAGCACCAGCTTCAGTTTGAAGATGCCGCCTTGTGAATGCAGCAATGGCTTTCAGAACGCCAGGCTCGCTGCTTTCTTTAGAAAATATTTTGAAAAGAAGGACGAGATCGGTGACACTTGTCGTTCTGTTGTTGGTGCTGTCGGGCCGCGGGCTAGCGACTCCCCGCAGAAGAGCAGCGGGAGATGCGGAACCGCGCAATAAGCAGCGGCGGGAGGGAGCGGAGGCAGGAGCGACACGAAGAAGAGTGCTTGCATCGTCCCGCGCGGAAGGTGATCGTAGCGTAATGCGACTTACTATGAGTAGTACTTAGGGACTCCCTTAGTTTTGACTGGAAATTTTGTTACCTCCTGACCACCGACGTCGATCACCCGTTTCTAGTTGTTAACCCCCTATCAGCTTCGTCACCAGGACCATCTCTTGCAACGCCTAAACCCTGTTACATCTCTTGTCACGCATCCTCTACCTGCCTCTTTCTATTCCAACCCTCTTGTACCTTGTTGTGAGGCGCTTCAACCGTTTCTCTTTGTCATCCCCGATCACACACTCCCTGCTTGCCTCTCCCTGATCTCCAGCTCTTTCGCGCGCGAATTGCACTCAAGGTCACGGCAACGCCGACGGTAGCGATGGTGGTAACCAGCTGCCGACGTGGAGCCCGCATGTGCCGCGCGCCGTCCTGAGGCGAGGCATCGCGCACGAAGGGGATATGCTGCGATTCGACAGGTTGCTGCACAAGGCACGTTGGGGTTAGAGGGGGGGTGGGGGCATGTGCTGACTCCAGTTGACTCTAGTTGATCCCATTCTTTTGAGGAGAGAGGTGTCTCGCATGAGGGGGGCATGCTGCGATTTGACCGCCTGCTGCACAAGGCACGTTGGGGCTGAAGGGGGTGCAGATGGGCAGAGGGGGGGGGCATGGATTTTGATTTGTTTTTTGGGTCGATCCTTCCCCTTCATCTGTCACCCCTCAATCCAATCACACCCCTCATCCTTCCGGTCCGGCCTACTCCAATCGTCGCATGCCTCCTTTGTTTTCACCATGCCTCATCCCTCCCGTCTCCCCATGCCCCCTCCCATGCAGATCATAGTGCGTCGCGAGCCCATCACAGTGGTGGCTATCGGCAGCAGCTGCACGTCCGAGTTTGGAGGCAGGAAGGGGCCGCAGCTCAAGCTGCTCAACCTCGATGCCTTTGAGTTCGGCAGGTGAGGGGGGAGATTTACTAATGAGTTCCTTTAGGGTTAAATCTGGATGATTCTGAGTCAGAGTTTGAGGCAGTATTCAATTTTGAGTCTGAGTTTGGCGGCAGGAAGGGGCCGCAGCTCAAGCTGCTCAACCTCGACGCCTTTGAGTTCGGCCGGTGAGGGGGAGAACTCTCATATATGTTGCTTTTATACTCAGTTCTGAGTCTAATCCCAGGCCTGATCCCAATCCTGTTCCCAAGCCTAATCCCAGGCCTGATCCCACAAGCCTGATCCCAACCCCGATTCTGAGCGCGAACTTGATTCCGAGTCGAAACCTTCCTCATCTGAAACCCCACCTCGTCTGTCTTCTCTTCCGTTCCCTCTGCTCTCCCCCTCTCCACTCTCTCCCCGTCCCAACCGGACTCTCGTCTTCTCCAACGCGCCACTGCTTCTAACCCCCCCTCCATCCTCCTCCATACCCCTTTCCCTTGTTCCTCTCACCCCACCAGAGTGGTGCATCCAGACGGCTGGCTCACAGCAGCACTAGACTGGCTGCTAGCAGCGTTCCCACCCAGCAAACCGCACGACTTCTCTAC